TGAGGTTATGAGAGAGAAGTCAGAAGAAAGCAATCACCTTTGTATTTTCAGGGACCTCAGGAACCTTGTACGTCTCCGCCGAGACCTCCGTCAACCACGTACCGGGAAACAAACCCTGCAGCAAGAACAACCGCCGTGAACAACAACCGCCGCCAGTTAATTTGATAAACAAACAGAGAGGCGGAGAGGGAAGAAACTAAAAGGAGGGTCACGATTTATGAATTTGGGAATTTGACTTACTTCCAATTGCTTCTGAACATTTCTTGGCCGCCTCTTTGGGCGACGGGGAGGGCGGTGGCCGAGCATCTTCATGAAATCTTCCTCGATCTCCTTCTTGTTGAGCGTCAATGAAAACTTGGGCCTCTCCTCCTCCTTATTCTTCTCCGGACCCGAACCCGAACCGACCGAAGCCCCTCTGACTAGCCTTGGCGACTTCACGCCATTGTTACCCTCACTCCTCAACGGCGAGTAACTCGCCTTCTTCTCCTCGATTCTCACCCCTTTAGCACCACCGCCGCCGCCGATTGGAGACTTGCAAGCCGCCCTTCTCGTCCTCAGATTCCATGGCCTCGCCTCCGGCGGCTCCGGCGCCACCGGAGGTTCCGATTCCCCAACCTCCGCCATCTCAACATCCTCCTCTTCCGCCGCCACGTGAGTATCAGCAGCCGCCCCCGCCACTGCCACCTCCTCCTCTCTCAAAATCGCGTCTTTCATCTTATCCGCCGCCGTCTTGAGATCAAACATGAGCTTCTGCCTAAACGCATCGATCCCTTCCTCCGCGTCGTCGTTCTCGATCCTCGGCCTCGAGGGCCGAAACTTGCGCTTCTCGAACTCCAAATCCCTCCGCCGAGTCATCACCGCCGGCGAGCTCTCAATCCTCTGAACCGACGATCGCCGATTAACCCCAGACCCTTCCCCGCCACTCCCGCCGGCGTCGGAGCTCTCCTTCTGGCACCGCAGGTGCCTCTGGTTCCCCCACTTCAAATCCCACGGCAAGTTGAAATTGTGCAGAGGCTTCGTCCTCTCGGAACCCATCGCCATGGACTTCGCCTCCACTCTCTCCTCCTCCTCCGACCCGCCTATATACACCATTTATCGGAAACTCAGACCAAAGAGAGCCACTCTCAGATCACAGCTCTCTCTCTCTCTCTGTTTCTCGCGCCTCCTCTGATTTTCTCGGAAAATCTCGGAATTTTCTGGGAAAAACGGAGAGTTTTTCTATTGGGATTGTTGTTGTTATTGTTTTGTTTTTCTCTCGCAAATCGCCGGGAAACGTAAGTTTACGAGTGCGCGGCGAGAGCGAATTGAGAGACTCCGAGAGAGAACGTTTTAACGTTCGGATTATATATACTATGGATTTTTTTTTTTTCTTTTTCCTTTTCCTCTTTGGGCCACTGCTAACGTGCGCCCTTGGTGCATTTTCCGCACCGCTGAGGTTTCCCGGGTGATGCGTCGTTTTTGAGTGAGGCTTTGCCCTTATGCACCCTCCGATTTGAAGTTTACCTCCTTGATCTCTTCTCCCAGCCGTTGATTTAAAATTATTTTCTTTTAATTCTCAAAAATGAAGATTATTTTCATTTAATATTTTTCCTTTTGGTGGCAAAATTCATTCTTGTAAAGCGTGACATATTTTTCATCACAACAATTCAAACATGTGTAAATGTAATTGTGTAGTGTTCGAACCTTGACAATAATAATCGAATCTCGCAATTTTAAGCTTGACAATAATTATCGAATCTCATAGTTTTAAGTGTTTATAGAAATGAGTGAAATAACAAAAACCAACCTGTGGATAAGAAAAACTAGTTATGGTGAATTATTTACTGTATTACTATATATTGTTGGATACGGCCGGACCGCTCTGGTCAAATTTTGTTCTTTCTTTCTAATTATTCTCAACGAAATTAATTTGAATTACTTTATTGCTCTACGTTGTCGGATATGATTGAACCATGTCAGTTAAATTTTTTTATTTCTTTCTAATTATTCTTAACAAAAAAAAATTATTTAATTTTTACTAATTAGATATTCATCTAAAATTGAAAATGTGGGTAGAAACCTTGAATCCAAAAATAAAAGGAAATGTTGATGTAAATCGTAGAGAAAATTGTATGAAATTAATAAATATTTGAGGAATAAAAAATAAAAAAGATATCCATGTAGAAGAATTATACCTTAGATGTGCATAGGCCAACGGCTACTATGACAAGCCAGTTGCAAGTAAGACGTTGAAGATTCGATTTTTGTCAAAGGGAAATTTGAACTAAATTATTATGACGTGAAGTTTAGCTAACTCCTCCACCCATCCTGTTGATAATATCGTATGTGTTGATGCACACAATCAAGTTGAATTTGGAACAATGTAAAGTGTCAAGGTTGTAACCTTCGCGAGGTTGCTCATGTCACCTAGCGAGGATAATATGTAAAGAGATATAGATAGGGTAACAAACACAAGATATATGTAGTTCACCCTAAATTGGGTCCACAAAGGTAAATGAGTTCTCATTAATCATGTAGAGTTTACACAGTACAAAATGTTCAAGCATAATCATCATTAATAAGTTCTAATAAAGGGTTAAAGGGAATAATATCATTAAGGATTAATTATAGGAGAATGATCTTCTTTTATAGTTGAGGAGAGAATCCGGCTTTCATCCTAAGTCAATGTGGGACTCTATGAACTTTATTTTGATGTTGACACGTGTCGTGTCGTGATTGGCCTGGAAACTCTTGTGCTTCGGCACGAGTGCTTCAACACAAATCCTTCAATAGGTCCTTAAAGATATAAAGTTGACCGGTACTCGATAATTTCGATATTAATGAAATACGGTACAAACAGTATGTATTAAAAAATTAATACAATTCGTGTGGATTGTAAAATTGTCTATCTCATTATTTTAAGGATAATATTTTCCTCACTTCTTTTCTAATAGGTCATTAATTCATGTACAAACTTCATAATTGGTATTGTTCATTTTTTCATCATCATGTAAAGATAATTTTACATATATTCATTTGATTTAGAGATCATTTAACTATTTATACATGCCAAACAAACCGACGATTATGGTAATAAGTAGCATTCTCATAATTGCCAATTTTTATTTATTTATATGAATAATTAAACGGTTTTTAAATCAAATAAGTTTTTCAAATACAATGTATGCATGAGTTTAAGAGAATGAACAAAACTAGAAAATAAAGACTTTCTCTGAAGAAGTATGATCCTTGTTTTGATTGCTAACATCAATCTACCTTCCTCATTACAAATCAAGTCGGGTCGGACCAATATACCCCACCAAAACCGTTAAAGCATTTTTAAACTGCAAATAAATTGAAAGTGACAGAAAATTAAGGAATGTGTAAGGAGAAAGAAACCCTTGACATCTGCATGCCCAACTCCAAACGGTATGTATATTTGCATGCTTGAATTCAAAACAAGGTAAACTAACTTTGTGTTATTGTAAACATGAGTATAACAATAACAATTTTCAAGAAGTGCTATAGAATTTATGAAGTTCAATTTTTACCATCAATTTATCATACATGGATTCATAAGTGACGATATATAATAAGGATAATGCTTGTATTTCTTCGTAATGAAACCTACTTTATCCTTCAACTTATGATTAATACGGCCAATCCTAGGAGAGTATAGGCGGGGCCATCGAATAGGGCCATAAATCGAAGGCTTCCATTTATGTTTCACATAGGGCCTCCAAAATCTGAGTGTCGAATATGATGATTAGCATATCTTCGTCATACAAATATTATAATCGGATTGTCGATTTTCTTTGTCATCATCTAAAGTTCATAATGCAAAAAATTATTCAATTTGGAGATTTTTTAGTCATTCATATGTTTTAAACAAATAGACGGTTCATCATGAAGATTTTATTTGTTATCAAAGTCGTTGATTGGTTTGACATGTATGAATGGCTAAATGATCTTCAAATTAAATGATTTTGTGCATATATGATATTTAGATGTTGATAAGAGAATGTACAATTTCTATTGTGATGTTCATATGTTAAAAATACATTAGTCATAAGCAGGAGGACAAGTATGTTCTCCCACGGAAAAACACAAGCATTATCCATGTAGTTATATTTTTTTATCAATTGCATGGCAATAACTTGGAACCTCTTCCTTCATTAGATAAAAAAAGATTTTTAAACTTTATGGAGGTTTTATATAATTTGTGAATTGGGATTCTCACTACGTATACAAAATTCCACTTTTAAACTCGACTTTTGTTAAATATTACTTACCGATAATAAATATTAGAATTCTTCAATACTTTTTTTGTATTAAAAAATTTCAGTTCCTAACTTCTTTTGTGTTTACTAACTTGTAATTTCAAGTTATAATTGTTAATCTAATACTTGAAAAATCATGAATCATATCAACTAATGAACCTGATTCCGTCCTCAAATCTTCTATCTCTTTCACTTTCTCGAATCTAAATAAGTAAACATTCTCTCAAGACAAGATATTTTACATATAAAATAAAATAAAATAAAATAAACCCTTTTTTGAACTGCCCTAAAACTCGAAGCCGCGACATCACATAATTCGAAAAGCTCCTCATCTGCCCTCCAGTCACATGGTAAACATCAAAATACATATGAAACCATCAAAAAGTAGCCTTTTAAACGTGAGATCGATCGGTTTTAAAAGCTCCAATTAAACTTGGAAGGAAACCCACTCGGGGTCCCAAAGTCCAACGGCTAGTTTGCTTATTCCTTTATATTAAACCCTAAAACAAACAAGAAGAAGCAACCGACCATCATACCCGCTTTTTACAGCTTGGCTTCCAACCACCAATTATATTCCTTTCACTTCCTTCCACTTTTTTGCATCCTTAAATGCTCTCTCCCTCCTCCACAAACCCCAACTCAAACTTTCTGCAACTAAAAGAGAGAGTGATTCATTTCCGACTTCATTAGTGTACTCGTTTCATGTAAGTCTCACTCATTTGTTGAAGTTTCCACAAAAAAATGTCGAGAAGGCGAATGCCCGTTTTTCAGAAGCTCTCGAAACTCCTGAACATCTTTATCATCCTTGCCAAAGTGAGAAAACTATCATTTGAAAACTCATTTATTAGGAAGTTACAATATTCAAAGAAGATGAAGCTTCTGAAGAATTACAACTCTGGGTTTGTAAGAGAATACCAGTTCTCTCCCTCCAACACTCCCCTCATTCATTACCACAGAAGGAGGCAGCTCATGAAGAACGGAAGCCTTCGAGACGTGTACTCGATGTACTTTCTCTGCAAATGCTGGGGCAATAGCTTGAGAGTTGAAGGAGATTTCACGTTGGAAGCTCTGCAGACTGCCGGAGATGACAATGCAATGGCTTTATATGAGCCGTTGGATTGGGGAGATCACGAAGAAGAAGCTTCCATTGATTTGCGGGCGCAGATGTTTATTGAGAGGTTCTACGAAGAAATGAGAATGCAGAGGCAGGAATCGTTTTAAGTTAATCAAATTTTTAGTCCAAATTTTTGCATATTTGTTGATTTTTGAATGATATTACTCCTTTTTTTTCGTGACATGTGTGGCAATTAGTATTTTTGGGGCATAGGAACGTTGTTTTGTTGATTAAACTTTCAAATTATTAAATCTCATATTTAATATCATTTATTTTATACAAGCGAAATTCTACCATAAATTGATTTTGATATGTTCTAGTCGATGTATCTGCACCTATGTTGTACCAATGCGTTGTCGCCTTTTGATAATTAGAATGGTGGTCCATAGCAGAATTAAGCTGGCAGGAAGTGAAGTAAATGGACCACATAGTACCGTGTCTTTGCCTACAGGGAAGATAGAAGAACTTCAATGAAGCTGGGCTGTTTAATAGAAGCATTCATATATACATGACAAATCCCTAAACATACAAAAAGTTTGAAAAATCCGCCATCATCATTAGTGCACATTTTCTTAAGATATTGATTAATCTTAACAAATCCCTAAACATGGTAGTTAGTGTCTGCCATCTGTCTGTTTAATATATAGAAACATGACCGTGACAATAGACCAACTTAGAGGTTTCACATGCTACCATAAAGTTCCGATTCCGATACAGTAACTTTTTTGGACAGAACATTTCGGAGTTATCGGAATCAAAACTTTATGCATGTTATATTGGGCCTTGTTTGAAGGTCCCAAAGTTCCATACAAGTGAATGGTATTTCCTTGACAGTATCATCATAATCTGGAAAAGAAAGAGCTTTGTCTCCGGCATTCTTAATGTCAGGATCAATGAATAGGTTGCTTGTACAATCCAAATTTCCGACGTCATTTGTGTCGCGTTTATTGATCACCTCGGCATATTACCATTTTACCCTGTGAATATCATGGGCCAGGCCTTGTTCCAATTTGGGTTTTGGTCACATCATATGGGCCTTGATCATATTGGAAAGCGTTATATTTTTCTTATGGACCACACAAGTCCTGGTCAGAGATTTACGCCCAATTAACATATTCTGTAAATTGATAATTATTTTATGATCAACCATTTTTAACAATGAATATAAAACACACATATTCGTTATTAAAAAACCAAAAATATTTACAAATTCGTAAACTGATCTTCTTCTTTTTTTATTTACAAAATAATATTAGATACGGTTTTAAATAAAAATAATAAAAATGTAAGGTTCTGTTTGATATTCTACTTGAATTTAACTTTTTTAACTCAAAACAATTTTCAAGTTTTAGGCCTTAAAAACTTGTTTGATAGGACTATTTTAAAAAATTGAACTTAAGTTTAACTCAAAAATATAATCTATTCTCTAAAAATATAAAAAGTGAATATTTAGAGTTTTTACACTTACACTCACTCATTTCTTTTCTCTCCCTCCTCCGCTCTCACTCCAAATCTATCTCTTTCTTTTCCTCTTCTCTCCTTTTTTTTTTTACCTTTTTCGTCCCTCGTTCAATTTGCTCTCTTCATTCTCTCGGTTCTTTCTCTCTATCTCGTCCAATCCTCTCTCTTTTTTCTCTTTCCTTCAATCATCTCTTACTTTTTTTATCCTCTCTCCTTTTTCTCCCTCTCGACCCCTTCTTTTTAGATTTCTTCGTCTTAAATCGCAAACCAATTAAGTTTTTGAGTCTTAAAAAAAAAAAAATTCAAGAAATGTTGTTAAGAAATATTTTGAAAAATGATAAAAATTTCAAATAAGATACCAAACAGACCCTAAATTTGCTACATAAAATTGCGTACGTCCCCACCACTAAGGGAATTGGGTACTCTCGGGCCCTAGAAAAAAACCGGACCGGAGACAATTTGACCTGCCTCATTTAATGAGGGTAAAAATAACAGTGTTTTCCGGCTACTGTTTTACAGTAACCTTTTGACCTTTTTGTAAGAAAGGAGGAAAAAAGGAGAATAAAAGCAAAACCTTGTGCTTTAAGTTTACGCACTGCGAATCGATTTGGGTAAAAAAGGGGAACTTGATATAGGGTTAGGGTTTTTACCCAATTCGATTGCAGACATTTACATAGAGCATTGAGCGGCCGGCAAAGGGTTGAGAAATCCGAGAATGGCCGCCGGCAAGGAGTTCATGGTTTACAACTCGCTGACCCGCCAGAAGGAGATCTTCAGGCCGATAGAACCCGGCAAGGTCAGGATGTACGTCTGTGGAATCACCGCCTACGACCTCAGCCATCTCGGCCACGGTCGCGCCGCCGTCAATTTCGATGTCCTCTTCAGGTTCGCCATGTTTAAGTTATTAATTATGCAATTAATTGTGCTTTTGATTAGTGTAGAATTTGATGTGTTTGATTTTGTGCATGTGCTTTTGATTTTCCTGTTTTCTGTTAGAATTATTTAATAAAGCTAGTTGGTTTAATCACTGTCAAACGCTGCAAAATCTGTTTGGCATAAATCATAACCGAGGATTAGTTTGTGGCAACAAATCATGTGTGAAATTGAATTGGAATTCTGCAGATACTTAAAGCATTTGGGTTACGAGGTTACCTACGTCCGTAATTTCACTGATGTTGATGACAAGGTGAGAATTTTGAGCCATATCATGAGATGATTTTGTATTGCATTTCTTCCTTTCCCTTCATTCGCGTGCACTCTGCTTTGGTTTGTTTGTAGTTTTAGCAATACCCTTGTACATTCCTGCTTTTTAGGAGTAGACACCAATATTTATGTTGTGATTGGACAGGGATTACCGAGTACCAAGAGAATTAGGCTACGTTAGTCAGGAATGACTAGCTGCAATGAACTTAGGGTGATTTGTAAATGACTAGATGCAATGTACGTAGTGGGACTTGTAAATCACTACTTGAAAGGAGTCATTTTCTGTTTAGTGACTTTGTGATGCTCCTGTGGTGCATTTTCGATCACTCTACCTAATGTTTCCTTTAGTGTATTTCTAACTAATTTAGGACTAATCCCTTGGTATTTGGAAATCCCTCATCCAAACAGAACATTAATGTTTCGGTTATCTTATACTTGTTATCTCTTTCTAGCTAAAACTTTTCATTTGGCTTGTTTAGTGCTATAAATCTGCTTACCTTTTTATGACTAAATCACTGGCCTCATATCGAGGTCTTTTTTCTTATGTCCGAAATCAGTTATCTGGCAGCTGGCTAATGCTTTAATGTTGTTTGGCATTTGAATATCTGAGACAGATGGGTGTTTTATATGCTTGAAAGAATTTTGGATCTTCTGACTCTTTATAATTTTCTATTTTGAATCTTCTGATTCTTCTTGTTCTTTTCATTTTCGTTGTGTACTTAATGCCATGTAGAGATTGCTAATGTTTGGACGTTTCAGATAATAATACGAGCAAATAAGAATGGTGAAGACCCATTTAGTTTAAGTAGTCGTTTTTGCAAAGAATATCTCAAGGACATGGGTGATCTCCAGTGCCTTCTTCCCACCCATCAGCCATATGTTTCTGACCACATAGAACATATCAAGGATTTGATAACACAGGTTTTCTGCTTGCTCTAATGCTTATATATTATGTTTCTGTGATGGTTTTTTGTTTATTTTATTTTTACGGGCCCGCAGTTTCTCTCTAATGATTGTTATATCATGCAGATTATTAACAAAGAATACGCATACCAAGTTGGCGGAGATGTATTCTTTGCTGTTGATAAATTTCCAAATTATGGCCAGTTATCTGGACAAAAATTGGAACACAATCGGGCTGGTGAACGAGTTGCTGTTGATTCAAGAAAGCGTAATCCTGCAGACTTTGCATTGTGGAAGGTCTGGGATCCTCAACCATTTACCTCGTTTTTGCAGTTTTTTGTTTGTATTTTTAAATTAATGAAACTTCAAAATAAATCTGCAGTCTGCAAAGCCTGGTGAGCCAAGTTGGGAAAGCCCTTGGGGACTTGGTAGACCTGGATGGCACATTGAATGCAGTGCAATGAGTGCACATTATCTGACATTCAAGTTTGATATTCATGGTGGAGGCATTGACTTGATTTTTCCACATCATGAGAATGAGATTGCCCAGAGCTGTGCTGCATGCCAAGAGAGCAGTGTGAGTTACTGGATGCATAATGGACATGTTACCAATAACAACGAGAAAATGTCAAAATCCCTGAACAACTTTTTCACTATTAGGGAGGTAAATTGCGGTAACTTTTCCTTTTAATGCTTCTTGGAGCTTCTATATATTTTCAGTTTATACTACCATTTAATATATAATTTCATTCTCTATTAGATTACAGAAAAGTACCATCCATTGGCTTTGAGACACTTCTTGATAAGCGCTCACTATAGGTCTCCTCTCAACTACACAATTGCCCAGCTGGAAAGTTCATCAGATGCTATTTATTACATATATCAGGTATGTGTTTTATCTGGATCTGAATAATTTTCATTTGGAAGTTTGTCTCTCAGTCCTTAGCTAGTCAATGGGCATGCATGCACCTGCTTAGCTCCTAACTGTTCTGAGACCTTTCCTTTTCTGGAATATTGTTTTCCACTGATATCTTTTACTGTATCCTGATGTGTAATTTTAGTGGACGTTGCGCTAAACTTTCTGTTGGCAATTTTTCCTGGTTGGGTTAAATGGTAATTATTATCTTGTTGGATTACCCCTGCAAATTTCTGTTTGGCCAATGTCTTCTGGAATGATGGCTGTTGGCATTAAATATTAATCTTTGTGATGTAGCTGGTTCCAGAATTCTGGACTTTCGGTTAATTTAGCACAATACAAGTAAAATACTGATCAAGATTGAACAGAATTTTATAGAGTTTGGGTTGCCATGGGTTTACCCTTTTTATGTAGTGTTCTTTGCTTTGTTTTCCCGACATAAGTTGCATTGTGACTATTTTAAGGTACTTGCCTGTGTCTCAAATTTACGGAAACAGAAGTTAATAAGACAAGTTAAACATGCATTTTGGATCACAGTACAAATGGATTTTATGTTTCTGTATCTGGAATCTTATAGCTTGATGTTTTGTCATGGTAGACCTTGCAAGATTGTGAAGATGCTTT